CGATCGTAATAAATGAATGTTAGATCTAATCTAGTAACTAGTAGTACTAGTAGTCTTATAATTTTATTCACAGAAGGGCGCGGTAGCGTCAGGAGGTCCTACACAACGTTAACAAAGTCAAACAACAAAACAACGTTAACAAAGTCATATTATGACCAAACAATCTAGTAGGGCTAGGCCAAGACGACGATGCTCGACACTCGACTCTATAGGCCTAGGCCTATCGATTACTGAACAGAACAGGTAGAAACACCGTCCGATTACTACCGAGCCAAGATGGCGGCCAGGCCCGGGCTGGGGTAACAGACGAAAAAGTGCCGAAAATTGGAAGCCTATGCACTGAACGTTAGATCTATAGAACGAAGACACTTCCTTTTTTCCGGACCCGAGTCCGAATAACATTTTTTCACATATTCGGACTCGACCGGATGATCTGGTCACAACTGACACTACCTTACTAAAATTAGCAGCCAATCAGGCAGGTGCGTCGTCCTACGTTTAGTCGCATGTAACCAACCAGCCAGATGGTAACTTTAGTAAAGGATGGTAAAAATGAAAGGGTACTCCAATGAATGTGAAGAACAGATTGATTGATGCAACTTTTCCAAACGAGTAGGAATCATTATAAAATCACTTACAGACGGTGATAAAGCCAACGATGATAGCAATAAGCACACCAAGTATAGCTGGGTCCTGCCTCTCTATCCCCTGGACGACAGTTTCGACAAGTTCCGATGCACCAGCCATGTTGGCACTAACAGAAGTAGAACACACACGGCTCTTCACTCATCGGCTCGGTGACAGCAAAGGGCAAGAACTGTTGTTGATGTTGAGAAGTAGATTCTAATTCTAGGCCCAGCCTAGTAGTTCCGGGTTGTAACATGTCGGAATGATTTGCTTTCATAATTATTTATAATTGTTCATGCATTAAAGTTATAAGATACACATATAAGATATTTCTAATTACTCTCAATATATGTGTATTACATTCTACGTGCATATTTGGGTTTCCCAGTGGTCCTGGTGGAACAGGGTTATAAAAAAGGCCAAGTCCTTATTAGAAAGATCGTTTGACATTGTCGTCGAAGTATCTTTCTTACGATGAACTAATTACTTAGATCCATGGCCTCTTGGCTAGTGGCTAGCTCTCGATTGAGTCTCGATCAACTGCTGCTAACACACTCACAGAGCTGAGACAACGACGATGACTTATCGAGGAAGAAAAAGGCTGTTTTGATCGTGGGGTGTCGCATTATAGGCTAATCAACCAAATTAATAATTTTAGAGTTTTTGCTGTCTCTGAATATGTTGTTCAGCGCTAATTTCTTTGGAAGCCAATTTCTTTCTCCGCAATTTTCAAGTTCCACTGAATGACTGATACCCTTTGCTTTGCCTTGCCGATATTGATGTCACAAACACCAGAGACGACACAACTGACAACTAGAATCTAGATCTAGATATCTAGAATCTAGATCAGATCTAATCTACAGTTAAATTCTAGGCCTACAACACGGTACACCACCAGCCTTTTATTTTCATCCACCTCACACATATTGTTTGGCTACGTTTGTCACTTGTGTGGGAGGCTTACCAACTTGGCTGTCGCTGTCATCACTTCTTCTGTACTCTGTCTGAGTGTACTGTAGATGGAGACTGCTCATGAGGTAGGTTCTCAGGATTCATGTCAACAGTTTGCTTCAGACTTCGTCACACAGTTATTTCGCAACACCGGTGCAGTCAAGACGTCACAGTCATCTCGCCACGCCCCAAATCCACATGGTGGAATGGATTAGATCTATATGGTCATTTCGTAGCACACTTTTGCAAACATCAAACACTCATTGTGACATTATCATGGCAGTTGCAAATCACGATTTTTGGGGGAGCATTGGGGCTGTGTGTGGAGGGATGGCGGCGCCTGTGCGAGTCGTCATGCCTACCTGATCTGCTACACTGTCCATAAATACATTGACAATATTGAAAGGAAGTTTGTCTATCCTCACCCGGGGTGAGAATAAAAATTACGATCGACCTCTCACCGGGGGTGAGACTTGCCAGGGTTGGCTATTCTCACCCAGTGTGAAACAAGACCTGTTTTTCCTAATTTCAGAATACTGTCTCTGTGTGGATGATCAGATAGACAAAAACAAAGAAAAAAATAACGTTATCAAAAAGTAAGCTAATTAGGTTGTCTACAAAGATGCTATGGCTATTTCACTTTTCGAATCGAGCAGAACTACGCGAGTCGCCATTTTGTTTTGCCCGCAAGTTATCGCAAGATCTACTCCTTCTCTTCTCTCTCGCACTCTCTTTCTGAATACTGTCTTTTCAGTGTGGACGATCAAATTGACGAAAACAAAGATAAAAAATTATGTTAAACCACAAAAGTAAATTAATTCTTTGGTCTTCTACAAAGGTGCTACGGGTATTTAACTTTTTTAATCGAGCCGAAGTATGCGGATCGCCCTTTTGTTTTTCCCGGAAGTTCTCGTGCTCCTCCTCTCTCTCTCCCCCTCCCCCCCCCCCACCTCTCTCTCTCCCCCCTCCACCTCTCTCTCTCTCTCTCTCTCTCCCTTCCCCCCCCCCTCTCTCTTTTTCTCTCTCACTGCCCACAGACAAAATGGCACGCTTTCAACACAAGAACGCTGGAATATTTGTTCACGGTGAACGCTACACTGGTTGGCCTATACAGTGAAGGCACACCGGGGGAGAATAGCTAAAAGGCACGGGGTGAGAATAAAGGTGGCCATATTGAAATCAGATCAACAAAGTTTTTAGGTATTTGATGAAAGGTGTAATTGGCAAGACCATATTATTAGTATAGATATAGAAGTGTACGGTACGTACTGCGATTTTGCTAAGAGCTATCCTTACTTTCAAACTTAAAGCCTTAGAATTAAGTCTTTACCAGACATTGTTTTTGCCATATATTTAAACAAATTGTTCAACTATGAAAGTTATAATGACGATTTAATTTACATAATTGATAATTTATAACTTCAAAAAAAGCTTTAGGCTGATCCTCCAAAACTCTACTAGCTTAAAAACGATTTTGGAGCGATCTATATATAACTCACTTGCGACTGGGCCCTTTCACCAGTCACAAGCGTTGAAGAAGTGACTGGCGTTTTTGGGGGTATTTCAATAAATCACCACAACTCTCAGAATTACCCTATTGTAATCATTTTTTGACACAGTAAAGTAACATTCAAGCTTAATCTAATACAAAAAACTAAAATTGTCTAAGTCTAATACTTTAATTTGTATATATGATTTTTAAAAAATTGGCATGAATTTGATTTTCCGAAAAATTTCCAAATTGCACAGACACTTTCCCCGCCTTTGTCGTTACTTTGTGACCTCACGAAATAAAATTTAGTATGTCTCGCAAATTTACGAGTAGAGATATCTGTTACAATGGTCAGGGAAGAGTTCACAGTTCGATGTGATCCCGTCTGGAGCAAACTTATATTTAAGCCCAAGACGCCCAGAGTGTGATGTAAGTTTAGGTGAAGAGCTGTGATGATGCGAGTGTGGTGTTTAGGGAAAAGAAACGCGTCGGCTAGGTGTGATCATGTCTGGCAAACTTTGTACTGTTTCATCGAGTTTTGCAACGCACATGTGATCACATTCTCGAGATTGGCTGATCTGTGACGCGATGGGCAGTTTAATGATCTCAACTTTTCACTCTTGGTTGATCGGCTATGCCCGCCCGAGTTTTTGTTCTTTAAATGTGAAATCAAGCGCTCGTCAAAAGAAATCAAAGAAACTGACATTTTTTGTCTGTTTTTATCCAATTTTTGTTTTTTGACTCAACAACTTTAAGGTCCTTTTAAAAATACGTTTCTGGGTGGATTTCACTTTAAAATGTTGATTTAAGGCACAAAAATGTAAATTTGCAGTTTCTATGGCCTCTCAAGCTTTGGAAGTCGCCAAACTTTGGAGAATTTTACTTCTTAATCCAGGCGACCCCGGCCTCCTTCAATCGCAAATATTCGACTTCTATTCATGAAAGATGAGTATTTTTTTCACCAGAAGCAAGACAACTGAACAACCTGTAAAGTGATACCAATAACTCCACATGTCCAAAAATTTATGAGCACCTGATTCCACCGCGTCGTGACACAGATTATTACCTGAAATGCAGGATCTTAGACGAATGTAGACCTTCAGAATGAATCAGAGCAGGATTTTAGGGGTGACTTTTGTGTAGTTGGTAAAAATACTGTTTTCTTTAAAAAAAGGGATCTTAAACAAACCAGAATCGTACGTAGTGGGATCTTAGGTGGAGACTACTGTATAGGTCTAGGTCTAGAATTTGATCTGAGACAATTATGATTAACTTTTAACTAATTTGAAGATTGAGGGAGGGGGAGAGCATTTGGTTACTTTGTTCTTTCATTTGCCTGTAGTATTTTATAAGCTATAAAATACTAATATTATTCAAAGGGAAAGGCTTTTATAAATAAAAACGTACTGAAGTCTAAAGTACGTACAAACAAGACCAAGATACTAAGAATCAACACCACCTGGAATTGTGCCTGAAAAGAGAAAGAGGGAGCATGTATATCACTATTATATTAGAACACTTGATTGGCTCCCAAAAACAACCAAAATTACATAAAATTATATGACTGGTGTCCTATGCCTAATGAGAGCTACTGGCAAGGAAGGTCAAAAACGTGCTGCGAAGTCCTTTTTCTCAGCTAGCTCTATCTGGAACTCTCTCCCTCAGCATATTTTGAGGGGTATTAAGTCAGAGCCAAAGTTTTAAAACCTCTTTTATATTGTCATTATGTGATTGGCAGGTCTGTATTAAAAGTTCACGTTCTGTGTATTTATATTTTAAGAGTAAGTCGTAAATTGTGTCTTGTTTACATTTTTTAAAAATACAGGGCAAGAAAATGAACAAGCTGTTCGCGGAGGTGTTAGCAAAGAAGGATCTGTCTAAAGCTGGAGAACTATTCTCACTGAGTGATGATTTGATCGAGAAGGATCTGGAAAAAATTGTTGAAGAAATCATCGTAATTGCGGATTCTGATGAGTATGAGAAAAGTGACAATGACCAAAGTGTGGTGGAGATCTGCATTACCCGCATAACCACAGCAATCAGGTAGGATTTAAATTATTTTTGCCTGAATGCATATTTTTGACACAGTTTCATGACTTTTTGCTGTAAACATAGATTTATTTCAACTTGTTCATAATCTTGATAAAATAATTTCTATTCCTTCACATTATTGTCCATAAAACAGGGATCACTTCCCTTAGGTTTAAATGTTCGGCCCATATTACATGAATTCCTTTTTACCCGATATATGTCACTTAACCATTTTGTTTTGTTTTTGTTCTCCTTCAGGGGAAATGGGGGAGGGATAATGTTACCTTTTTGTCATAATCAAATTAAGACAAGGACAATATTGGTAGAATGGTCAGAAACATTAAAGATAGTCTTGGCTAGCTTTGTATTGTAAGTTGGTTCTCGCCTCTTTAACTCTAAACAGTTCTTTCCTTTAAAAATCGAACAAAGATGTTTGATGGTTTTGGAAGGCCATGAATCTCATATTTTTGTCTAATTTATTCATTTTGGTGCTTGTACATAGAGTGTAGACTTGATTCTGGTGAATTACCCCCCCCCTAAAAAAATTAATTAAAAAAACATTTTTTTTCATACTTAAATGTGTGTTGCGTTTTACCTAATTTATCATTCTCATCTGACCGCTAGAGCTGGGTCACGAGCGCGAGAACGGAACTTTTTCGCCACTCTTGCCTGCGGAACGCGATTCACTTCAGCGGAATGCGATTCCCGATTCACTTCAGCGGAACGCGGAACAGTATCGCCTTCCAATTCCCGATTCACTCCCCTGCCGCTGTCACCACCTTGTGGCTTGTTTGTAACCTACTGCTCAGTCGAGTCGCGAGCGCAAGAACGGAACGGAACACTCAGTATGGCTCCCCTTATTTTACAAAAGATGGTATAGTCCAACCCCCCTATTAAAACAAAATGAACCAATAGACAGAAGGAATTTTATGGAGCCATTGTTTTAGCAAATCATGGGATGGGGGGGGGGGGAATTTATGGGGGTCGCTAATTGAGGTCAGTAGATAGAGCAGCGCAACGAAGGGTGGGGGGCGGAGAGGTTGGCGGGGACAACAGGAGTGGGACTCTCGCTGGCCAAGTGGCGTTGATATGACACTGTTCCGTTTCAGTCAGTGTTCCGCTGCAGTTCCACAAGCGATTCTTTGAAGCCGACTGAATCTTGAATCGCCACTGTCAGATTTGGCGAGCAGGATCCAGCTCTACTGTCCGCCGTCTTGAATTACCTTCTTTTATACAAAAATCAAAGCAAGAACGAAAAATTCACCTATATAGGCTAAATTTATGGACCCAAAGGACAGATAAAGCTATGCAGCTCGAATTGCGATGTCTGAGAGCCAAGGGGAGGCTCCTCTAGCAATATTATTTCTATTTATAGAAATCTCAAAAGTAGATCAAATATGCAAATGAGTTGAATGAAATCTGTGATTTGTGTATAAAATGAATACCTACCCAATATGCATTACTTTTAGGTGAAGTACCACAGTCATATGAGCCTTCACTAATATATAATATTTTTTAATGCAATCAGACTATTCGTTTGCATTTCAAATTTGGACAAGTAGGTTATGGTACTAAAATGGTTGTCATTCCTACTAGTTGGCCTGAAATAACTTAAAGTTTTGGTATATTTTGTAGAATCAAATGTTTTTACAGAAACTGATTCGATTTCTACTTTATATATATCAAGGAACATTTGATGTAAAGTAGAAATGGAATCAGTTTCTTTGAAAACGTTTTTTTTTCTTTCTTTGCCTATGTAAAGATGAGGGGGGAAAAGTCATTTTTTCTGTTTTTAGATAGGGTACCAAGTAAGTGGGTCACAAATGCAAATGAAACATCATACACTCATAATTATTGTATTAAACCAAAGTCCACTCAATAACCTTTCCATTGATATACAACACTTATATTGTGTTGACCATCACAGGAATTTATAAGATTTTTAAATCTACGTCCACTCTCTTTACCTTAAAAAACTGGCCCAAACCCGAGAACCTGTTAAAAGTTAAACTTACGCATTTTCTTAGATGTTATACTATTCATTTAATCTAACAGATGTCATACAGAAATGTTCAATTAAATGTTAAATCCCTTTTTATATTCAGAGAGACAGAAAATATCTGCAAACATGCTGAGCCACTTGTCCGTCTGTTGTCGGTGTGCCACAAACATAACTTGTCTCAAGTGGCCAAAGATGAGGATCCTCCACACGCCAAAATTGCATCAGACATCATGAGTCGTCTGTTCACGGTAAGAGAAACTGAAGTTCCCTATATTGTCACACATCAGTTTTGTTTAAAGGCAATAACAAATTGTATAAATATACAGTCAAACATGAGTTTACCCTCTCTCTACGGCATTCCTCCTTAGAATGTTGACTGTCTACACTGGTCTGTGTACTTCTGTTCCCCTCTCTTGGGCACTTCCAAACTGACTTCCAAACTGACTGAAGGCTTCTCAGCTGTTTCTAGCAGACCACTCACTGATGCTGCTTAGGTGGCTTTTCTTTTGTAATCCATAATTTTGTCATTCTGTCTACTTTCGTATTATGTATCCACAGGGCTGCCCATCATTACGAATTAGTTGCAGTTTTGATTCAGTTTTTTTAAAAATACAATCGTAGTTGCTCCGATTACGATTTGCAAAAAAAATTGTTAACCTTTTGGCTCTCACAACCGGTCCCCATCCTCCCAGTGTATAAGGAAGAAAAACAATCTGACCCTGACAGTCTCTGTCAGTCTGTCACTTTCAGCTGTATAACTGAATACAGAACCCTTGTAGTCACTCAGTGCCATTTTGCCCTAACAAAACATTTGTTGGCTAAAGCCAGGAGTGAGGGAATTATTAGTTTGACATGGGTGTAAAAAATTCCTGCTCTTTGCGGTATGGGTGTTGGGTTCGGGCAGATGAAAGATTTGTTAAAATTTGAATATTGTTTGAAACAATCAGCTGCAGAAGGCTGCATGGTTCACAGTGATGCGCAATCAGTATCAGAGGCTTGTGGTGGGTCCTGTTGGGTTCTTTTCATTTTTGCAAGAGTCAAAGTCAAGCTGACAGCTGGAAACTACTACCCCCGCGCGCACACACACACACACACACACACACACACACACACACACACACATTTTTTAAAATTCGACAATGAGCAGCCAGCTGAGACTTTTATTGCACCTTTGTTTATTTTACTTACATTCTTAAACCTACAACCCCTATCCTTGACACCCCAGGGAAAAACTATCGAAGGCATAACATAAATTTTGTTTGCCAGATTACCAATTCTTTATTTGTTGATTACTAACACATATTGCTGGTGGGTGAGCAGACCTGTGTCGAGATTCATCGCCAAGGGTAATGTTACTTTCTTCATGTTGCAGATGTAGCGTGCATTCTGCACTGGATCTCCAGCTTAATTAATGCAGTGCTATAGTTGGTAACAACCTTAATGAGAGGCTCCCTGTTGTTCTGAGTATAATATGTGTCACAACGCGGTGGAATAAAGTGCTTGTCAATTTTGGGGCTTACGGAGTTACCGGTATCTTCTTAAAGCCTGTCCAGTTTCCTTGCTTTTAATGAAAAAAATATTCATTTATCCTGGATACAAGTCAAGATATTGGCGACTGAAGGAGGTGGGGTCGCCTCGTTTCAGAGGTAAAATTCGCGAGAAAATGGCCGCCAAAGTTGAGTTACAGTCAAACCTGTGTAAGACGGCCACCCATTGTCAAGGAGAAAAGTGGCCGTATAAGACAATTGGCCGTCTTAGGCAGGACTGATCAAGATGAAGAAAACAAACCCCATTCCCAATCGACAGTAGCCGCATTTTTGTTGTTTTTGTTGTTGTTGGTTGTATTTTGTTTGTTATTTTTATTTTGTTGCTGATTTTGTGCAAGGATGACAATAAAACGAAATATGTGAGACAAGGAGGACCGAGTGCTATGGTAAAACAAACACATGGGTCGCCACCACTCGAAGAACGAGCAACAGTTCTGTCACAAGTCCATGTTGACGTCCATTGTTACTTTGTTACAGACTGGGTAAACAGTGACCACTCATCTCACTTACGATTTGTGTATATGAGTTCTGGGCGGGGCTTATGGGTTATGAGGGATCACACGCTTCCCTCACCAGCAGCTGGAAATTGGTACCTATTGGTCAACAGTGAGAGGGGCCTACGCAACATGATCGGTTGGAGGGACTACCTAACAACAATGACAGGTGATAAGATTATGACGGCTCACCCACAACGCCAGGGGCCAATGCATGATTTATGACAAAACGTAATGGAGTCACTAGGGTGGCCGTCTAAGACAGGTGCTATTGCTTAGTGTGATAGGTGTTGTGTGTTAAAATATGGTGGCCGCGGCCGCGTTTGACAGGTGCCCGTTTTACACAGTTAAATTATATATAGAAAAAACGCAAGGGGGGAAATGGAAAGTGTCCGTTTGTACAGGTGGCCGTCTTATAGAGGTGGCCGTCAGGGAAGGTTTGACTGTATTTCCTTAGCTTGAGAGTCCGTGGAAACTGAAAAGTTACTTATTTTATTACTTTAATCAATGCTTTTCAGTAAAATTCTCACAGAAATGTTTTTTAAAGAGCATGAAAGGTGTTAAGCCATAAGACAAAAATTCGATAAAAATTCCGAAACCTGCTAAAAAATGCCAGTTTCTTGACTTTCATTATTTTGATGAGGGCCTGATTTCCCCTTGCTGCCCACATATACTTTTTGATGTATTATAAAGCCAAAACCAGATATACCAGATGTTTTCTTCAGCATCTGTGGTGTAACGGTTTGGTTCTTGGCTGTTGCACACAAGAAACATAAGTTCGATTCCCATCAGGGAAAGTTTTTTAAAAACTAAGTATCTCTGTTTGCTGGGGTGTTTGTATCCCATTCAGCCTGAGTTGTCCCTGGGGGGCAGCATCAAAGCAGCCCACCTCAGAGGTGATCTAAATTGAGTCAACATGGGTGTAACACATTTACTTTTATAATTGCTACAACAATTCTAATAACAACCCGGATACAATGTTCCTTGTCTAGTATTTATTTTCATTTGTTCTACTTCTTATTTCCTCTACTTTTGAAAGTATGAAATGCCGGATACAATATTCCATTGGTAGCTCTTGTTTTTGTTATCTTTGTTTTTATTTGTACCACTTGTTATGTCCCGTGTTTTGGCAGTACTACAGCAACAAACATGTGATGACGCTGACCATCCCAGCAGTGGTCCAGTTCCTGGACTGTGACAACAAAGACCTGGTACGCAGCGTGGCCAGTTATCTCTCCCTGGCCACCATTGACAACGCTGATCTCCTGGCACATCACATGACCCTAGTACTCTCCACTGTCTTGAAAGGTCTGAGTCTAATATATGATGTGGTTGGTTGGTGAGGGTTCTGGTGTGATTTACTCCTTCTTTCCTGCCAAGCATCTCTTTTCTTCATCTCTCCTCTTTTCTTTGTTGGTTACTCTCTCATTAACCACCCCCTGGGGCGGTGCTACTGACTGAAGTGTCTTTAGGCCATTCCCAAAAGGGGGACATTAATATGTTCTTATGCACGGTAGAATTGTAAATGGGCTGACTCATCAATGTCATGCTCATAACTGTGCCTGAACTGCTTCTTCTTTCCTTATCCTTACTGTTGTTATTTTTCCTCCACTTTTTTGTATGTTGGTCACACTCTTGTGACCCACTATTTCTGGAGTGCCTTGATAGAAGAAGCAGACTTTGTGTTGTTGAGGCTAGAGAGGTGAGCAGAGTGGGCCTGATTCCCTGTATGGACTTCTCTGTTGACATCCACCCTTTGGCGCTCGTATGACCTTATGCAGTTGCGAGCGCCGTAAATACTCTACTGAAACTAAACTAAAACTCTCAGTAACACCTCTAATATATGACACTTATATGACCTATTTGTGTGGCAAAACTAAACATATTTGTAATAAGTTAGTTGAAGGTTTTTATTTAAGTAAGTTAAGATATGATGGCAAATGGGAATGAAAAGAACAAAGTGACATTAGTTTTTCATGGAGAAAAATATCCAGGGAAATGATTTCGTTCACTTAAACTTTAAACTGAGCCATGAGCAAAGTTGACCATAGTCAGCTGTTTATGGTTTTAGAGTCTAAAAAGGATTTGCGATGTGTCGGACATTTTGTAATTATTGGTCAGTGGTGGTGGTTACTGGTACTTATTTTGGGGGTAAAAGCAAAATTCAGTGTCCCCCTTCCCACCCCATCTTCATTTCAAACTGTTTGACATAATGAGCAGATCTGTGGTCATAGTGGGGTTGCAGCTATGTTTTACTGGAACAGGAAATAATTGACTGTGATCTATGGGATGATTGGAGACATAATGATGTGGGGGCAGTCAAACCTGCCGTAATGGAACCGTGTCCAAGATGGAAATCTGTCATGATGGAATCTCCCTGCTCCCCCCCTTTAATAAATTCTTCTATAATACATCATTGAAGACAGAAACCTTCACAACCCGGAAACAGACAGAGAAATTTCTTCCTTTGGACAGAAAATGCTTTGCCGTTCAACCCTGATTTGGTGAAATGAAATTCCCAAGTTTGGTTTCACAGGCTCTAACCTTTATGCTTTGCCACACCAACAGACAAGGAAGGAAGGGGTGCGGTTTGAGGATAGCTACCCCACCCATGTGACCCCTGAGCAATGCAGGTGATTAAGGTGGTTTGGGTGTGAAATTTCAGAGCTGCTTGTTGTCAAAGTGCTCAAGTGGCAAGCCAGGCCAGCATTGAAACTTTTATGGTTAACCAGAAGCGTGAAATTTGACCACTGCCGGACACCCCGATTGTACAACAGAGAAAGAAGTTCCCTGAATGGTTGTTACATTCAGGGGAGGAGTGGCATTGATTGATTGTGCAATTACATTGGTGGAGCTGATGGTGGAAACAAAGGGGATGTTCAACCGTTTCTATTTTGAATAGGTTAAACTATGCTCCTAATGAGATGCAAGCGCTGATGGCTATAGAATAGTAAGACTAGTGCATGCCATTATCAGAGCGGCTTGGTAGCACTTGGGAAATGTGAAGTTTTGATCAGTGGTTGCAAACTGAACAATTGACTTTGATCCCACAATGTATGGCTAACTCTCTAACCCTCCCCCCGAAAAATGTCTTAGGCAGAATTTTTTTTCTCGCTGCCTTGCAATTCCTTCTAGAACATGTTCGACTGTACTTTACTTTTACTACTACTTTTATTGTTTGTGTGTCTAGGAAACTACCTACTTGGCCAGGTGCTGCCCCAGATCTACGACCAGAACCCGGGCCCTGTGCTGGAGAGAGTGGAGGAGCTGGCTGAGCTGTTAGAACGTTGTGACACCACAGAGAAAGTCTGCTTTGTACAGCTCTTTAGTAAGGTGGCCAAGACTCACCCTAAGGTAAGAGATTGTAGAAGGCTGAAGAGAGTATCAAAACATAATCCAACACAACAGTGTGGAGAAAAGCACTGATATATCGGTAGGTGGTGCGGAAAGAGTTAAGTGTTTGAAGTCCTTCCGGGTGATAAATAGATGCGAAAGTTACAGTCTTAATTTTATTGATATCTCATAGTAATGAGAAGACTGGAACATACTTGAGTCAGTTTACTTAACCCTTTCTTACAAAGTAAGTTTACCAGGAGTGGTTACCCTTCCCCAAGAAAATTTTACTATGTTACACCTAAAATTTGTATGCTAAGGCTTACCTATGATAAGTGGCACTTAACACTTATCAGACGGCAGGCATGCATACTCATAAAGCCAGACTGCTTCCCTGGGCCTGCCAACAGGTATATTCACGAGCAAAGCGACCTATATTTAAAGAACAGCCGGTGAAAGTTTGTCCAAACATATTTATTTATTTTTTTACCCAATGGTTACTTCAGTTTAGATATTTTGTTCCGATTTCAGACAATTATTGTTGAAAGCGACAAAATGAGTTCAGAAATTTGTATTGTTGCAGATAGTTGTGACTGAAGCAATGGCTCTCATAATTTGTATTGAGAGTCTTCAGATCGAGAAGAGATATTGATCTGGAACCAGCTACCATTGATTGAGGAGCAAATTACTCCTTCTGTAGATCTTTTACCTCTGTTAGAAACTGAGCCTGGATAAAAGCTTACTATTACATAACTGATTACATCTAAGTAAGTGACCTAAACCAAAATGTTTTATCAGTGAAAATATGTTATGTCATAAGGAAACATGAAGTTTTACATTTAATAACTTTACTTAGGGCTGAGTTATTCATATCAGAGTAACACATTGCTCATATAGTCAGAAAGTGGATGGTTGCTCTGGTCATTTTGAACTCAAAGCCAAGTGTGAGGCCAATGCCATAGGTGTTAAGGAGTATCTGTGAAATTCCTCTTAGTCTGTCTACAGTTTTTCAGTTTCTTCTCTTTGATCCCTTTTCATTGTTTGTCAACTTTTATCAATGCATGACTACACTCTCTTTTTACCCCCACCTGACTCTTTCTCAGGTTTATCTGCTGAACAGTGTGCCTTTGTGGAGGTACTTGGCTGAAAATCAATAACTTTCATCCATGTCACTATCATCTCTATTTCACATGCATGAATATCATCAGGATCAGCATAAATTCCAATGGCTTTTTCTTCACTGTCTTTATTCACATTAAGCTTATTCAACACTTATTCGCAGTGTAGGATCAATATGCCATTGTTCATACAATTTGCACTAACTGATCTACATTCAAATGAGCATTAAAACAGTTTGACATAAGTGTTCGATTATGTTAAAGTGCTCTCTCTCTCTCTCTCTCCCTCTCTCTCTCTCTCTCTCTCTCTCTCTCTCTCTCTCTCTCTCTCTCTCTCTCTCTCTCTCTCTCTCCTCTCTCTCCTCTCTCTCTCTCCCCTCTCTCTCTCTCTCTCTCTCTCCTCTCTCTCTCTCTCTCTCTCTCTCTCTCTCTCTCTCTCTCTCTCTCTCTCTCTCTGTGTTGGTGCATTTGTGTGTATGTGTTTTCCCCATCACCTGTGCTCCTACCTGCCCTCCTCTTAAAGGATGTAAATTGTTTCAATGGGGGTGTCAAACTGTAACATCTTTCTGTGTGTGTGTGTGTTCCCCAGCTTCTGGAACCCTATGTACCTCAGCTGTGCTCCTACCTGCCTTCCTCGCTTCTCTCCTCCATGGTGCTCATGATCCTGGTGGACTTGGCCCTGGCCCAGCCGGCCAGTGTGGGGGGCCAAGTGGCCCAGGTGCAGGCCGTGGTTGGCACTCAGCCCATGCTCATGTATCAGGTGGCCCTAATCACAGGAGCTGTCGGCACTCTCAGCCAGGTCAGTTATTAGAAATGTTACAGATAAAAGTAAGGAACAAAGAAAAATAGGGGATAGATAAGAACAATAGTAACACTTCTAATGTTATAATAATAATAATAATAATAATAATTGCATTTATATAGCGCATATCCACTAGCAATGCCAATCGGCCACTGCGCTTTAGGCCTTAAATCAGGCTCCATGCGAGGCATTATTTTTTTGCCTTTCGGGATTAGAGATAGCTCTCTTCTAAGTATAGTAACGGGAAAACCAGTGCATAAAACAAGAGGAAAGGCATGTGAGCGTCCAATGCAGACAGATTACTGGAAGCGGAGAAATTGCCATGTTTGTGTGATTTTCTTCCGTTTTTCAAAAAGTAAGAGGAGCTGCTGCCTGACCATTGACCAGACAGATGCCCCACATGTCTTCTTTATTATTGTAGAAGTTCAGATCCCTTTGTGTAGTACATTTTACCTACCAACTTAAAGTTTCCACCCACCCAGCAATAAAAAACTAAGGCCAGAAATTGGGTCACAAGCTAGCTTACCGGCATGCGAGAGATGCGTGATCACTAGGTTGCATGGGACTGGCCACCTGAAACTAAATAGGTCACCAATGAGTCAGTTGCGGGTTTTCCCTATACCTCTTTTTAAAGTTGTACAGGAGGGGATTGGAGAACGGCACCGATTTTTTAAAAATGAAAGTTATATCGTTTCTGTTACAGGTGGAGCTAATTCAACTAATTTTTGCCCAGTATTGTAAAAATTAGATCTAAGTAGTTTTTAAGCAAAGGATGAAGTTTTGTAGTGTCTCGCAAGCCTAGGCCCTCTTTATTGGTAGCAGTTCAAGCAATGTTACGCGATTCAACAAATGTTCCCTCAAATATTAGTCGTAAACATTCAAAGTAATAAAAGCATTGAAAAAGTGACAGCAGGAATAGATTCTGCACTAAAAATCTCGAGAAGATGCCTAGTTTCATTCATATACTACTATTCATTAGAAATAAATCAAGAAACATCGCACTCTTTGGCGAAATTGTCCAGTATAAAAGTCCCCCACATTTTTCATAAAAGAAGCCCAATAACTTTTTAATTTATGAATGGATTTTTGAAATTTACTCTTCTTTCGTTTAAGCTTATTTCAAGACAATTTGGAAAAAAAATTTATTTTTCAATGTCATTGCTAATTTCCATGCTATACATGGGCTTTACATTTACTATTACCCCAGCAGACCCTAGAACACTCAGAAATGTTTTCTTGGCTTCCTGGGAAGTATACAGTGCAAGCTGCGGATTGCATGTGCTTAAGCACTAAAAAACTAACAAGATCTTTCACTGTCATTAGTTGGGTACCCTTTTCCACCTCGGGGAAGTGAGGAACATTTGTACCTTGAGACATTAACCCTTAGAGTGCTGACTTCTTTCCCCTTATATTTTCCCTCTGTGCTGAATTAATTTTGGAAAAACACCAAATTTGCACATACATTGTTTTTTTTGCTAATAACTTCTTTATTTGTCAAAATTTCTAATGAAGGTAAGAATAAAAGTTTTAGGAAATTGAAAGCTCTTTATGAATATGTGAGGCCAAAAGTATTTTGTGAAGTTGTTGTAGTTGTGGTGTTGGAAATGATGATGTTGCTGTTGCATAACCTTTGCATGGTACTTTTGTTTGGTAAGTTTTTCTATTATAGATGAGTGTGTCAAAACATTGTAGGAAAATGTGTTTAGTAGGTTTAGGACATTGCACACACACACAAAAACAACATGTGTTGCTTCTAAATGCTTCACTATGATGATGAAAGTCAATGGAGCTGAGGTTGTCAGAACGCATTTTTGTTAGTAGAAAAGAACAACGGAATAAAAACTCACTATATAGATCAATATCCATGTGCTTGGTACATTATATTCCAAAATGAATTTGTCACAAAGTGTTAGTGTCTGATACATCCAAAAATGGTTTCACAAAATCTATATACAGGGTCGCTGATGGTGTCCTAAGAAAATGTCAGTAGACATTATTGCTGCTGCTGTTGCTCAGCTTCAATATCCCGTTGATCGGCCTTTTGGTAGTCCAGCTCTGTGTGGTACAGTCTGAAGCATCTCGGCATGCACATGGGGACAGCACAGTCTGGGCACCAAAATCCAGTTTGTTTGCGCTTGTAATTTTCCCTTTATTTTGAGGAAGGATTACAGACGACACAATCCCGCATAGGGTGTTTGCGCTTGGCTCCCTCCTGTGCAGTAATCCTGTCACAGAAGTGACGTGCCACGAGCCGGGGTTCTTGGGGAGTCGGGGCAAGACTGGGACGGCCAACCTTTTTCCTAACTTCAGTCTGAATGCCATTGCCTTGGGCAATCAGGTGGGTCACCAGTTTCACCATGGCTTGATCGTGAGGCACTGGATTTTCCCCAAACTTGCAATGCAGAATGTATGCATTTGTGGCTGCCAGCTCAGTCAAAAAGAAAGCCAGTTTCCTCCACCATTTTAAAGAGCGCCTCATTGTTGAATAATACTTGGGCACTTGGTCCATGAGATCGACCCCACCCATGTGTGAGGTGTAGTCTTTGATGCAGACTGGCTTCATCACGGTAGCAGGTGTTCGGCCAGGACGGTACATCACACGGCCTTTGGCAGTATGGATCTTAGAGCGCATTTTTATGTCTCTCTTCTCGAAGAAGAGAACAGCAAGCATTTACTGCTTTCGCCTGAACACACAATCAAAGGGTTTCTTCTCTTCACCTTTAGGGCCTGAGGAACCCCAGTGCGATTGGCACGAAGTGTGCCACATGCGTACATGCTTCTTTGCAAGAGAAAATTGAAAAGTTCTGGTGAACTATAATAATTGTCCATGTACAAATAGTGTTGTTTGTCGAGGAGATTGGCGTACTCCATCAGACCCATTACGATTTTAGTGGTCTGTGTAGCTGTCACTGGAACCTGTGCAGCACGAGCTAAATCTGTGGCGCCGTGATAGACATCAAAGCTGCAGCAGTAACCAGAGCTGGTTTCGCTGATCATGTACAGTTTTATCCCGAATTTCTCAGGCTTTGCTGGGTTATAAACCTTAAACCGGATCCTCCCTTTGAAAGGGCAAATGGCCTCTTCCACAGTTATATTTTTTTCGGGCATGTACGTTTGCTTGAACACTTCCTGAAAATGTGACAGAAGCGGTCTCACTTTGTACAGGGGGTCGGTGTTGTCATCCAGTGCGTTGTCTGCAATGTGCAGGTTTGACCGCAGCAAAAAAAATCTATCCTTTGACATCTTTTCGTTGAAGAATGGGGTAGCTCTGGGATCACCAGTCACCCAATACAAAGAGAGAGATGATTTCTTCTCTAGGCCCATAAGTAACATCAGGCCAAAGAACACTTTCATTTCACCAATGTTTGTGTCAGTCCACAAGTGAAGACGAGATTTGGCTCCCAGAGTGTCACCTGTTCTTTGTCTCATTTTTTCCACATAACGATTTGTTTTTTCCACAAACTTTTTTAATATTGCATCAGAGGAAAAAATACCAAACAAGGATTCCATAGATACAGTTTCAAGTACCCAATTGAACCGTGGTCCCTCGGTTAACTCTGGTATTTCGAATTCCTCGTCGTCTTTACTCCAGCCTTGTTGCTCATCTTCGACAATGGGAACGTCACACGCGGGGCTAAACTGAAGTAAATCTAAGAGCTGATCACCACCAACTATGTTCTGAACTGCTCCAGCATCAAAACCTTCGAAATCCTCATCTTCCAATTTAAGGAAAATATGCGGAACATCTTCGTCTGAATCTGATGCGACACTATTTTCATGTTCGTCGGGGGTCACCATCGCGAATTGTCCAGCTTCTCTGTCACTCGACTTCAAAGTGAAATAAAAAACTCCTCGCGCATCGTTCAAACCCCGTGACAAGGAAAATGGCAGGCAAAATCAATTCTGCGTAGCCTACCAGCCAGCAGTATAAAAATTAGTACTTCGTCCTTTTCTTATATCGCGTTATACTACGCCTATGTCTATCGCGACCGGCGGTCACGATCAGCGCTTGACAGAAGTTCGGGCCGTCAAGCACTCAAAGGGTTAACTTACAGTTGGAAGTCCCACAACCTAACCACTAGGCTACCTATGCCACAACACTTATATAACCTATTTGTGTTGCAAGTGCTGTAAAACAAGTTGGATGTAGATGAGTGAGAGAGTGAAATAAACATGTAATATGTAGATGAGTGAGAGAGTGAAATAAACATGTAACATGTAGATGAGTGAGATAGTTTGAATGTTTGGTTAGTTTTACGATGCTTACAACTTCATAAGATCATATGAGCGAGCTGATTCTTTTCACGTTAGTTCACAGCTTGGTTTTACTTTATTAAATCAGAATGGTTCAGGTTAATTAAATTTCTGGTCAACGATTAGTAGATGAGAATGCAGACTTTAACCAAAAAAATTTTCCAAGAAATGTAACATGCTGACAAAATGAGTTACTCCTCAGATTCAAGCCTTATGGCAATAGATCACGCTTATTGATGAAGTTTTTACAATTTATAAGTATGAAATAATAGAAGTCATATTATAGTTAAAGAATATGACATCTAGAGAAAACCTACAAGTTTGACCCTATTGTCAATTTTTGGTCAATATCTCCTTTTGTGGAATGCAAGAAGTAACTCATTTTGTCAGCACGCCTCACACACACACACACCAACACACATATAATATATATGTCACACCCAAACATACACACACACACACACACACACACACAAATATGTATATATATATATTTGGAAACCATGCAGCATTATGGAATACCTGACAAAATGGTCAAGCTTGTGAAGACCACCTATGATGGATCAAACTGCCTAGTCTTCCACGAAGGACAACTCTCAGAACCATTCCAGGTGCAGACAGGAGTGCGACAAGGATGCCTGCTCTCACCTTTTCTCTTCCATATTTGCAATTGACTGGATCATGAAGGAAGCCACCAGAGGCAAGCGAAATGGAATACAGTGGATTACTTGGCAGCAGCTGGACGACTTGGACTTCGCCGATGACCTTGCACTGCTCTCTCACACACATGCTCTGATGCAAGAAAAGACCAAGGAACTCAACAGCCTATCAAGGAGTGTTGGCCTACGTATACACCTGGGCAAGTCGAAAGTAGTGGAGCTAGGAAAAGTTTCAAGCCCTGCTATGACAGTGGAAGACACTCCCCTAAAAGAAGTGGACTCCTTTACCTACTTTGGAAGTGTCATCGATGGTAAAGGTGGAACTGAGGCAGGTGTAAAAGCAAGAACCGCCAAGGCAAGGTCAGCTTTCAAGCAATTATCAAAAGTCTGGAAAGCAAGCAACATCTCACTGCACACCAAGATTCGACTCTTTAATTCCAATGTCAAGTCTGTGCTCCTCCATGGCTGGGAAACTTGGAAGATAACAAAGACAGTGCTGAATAAAGTCCAGACCTTCATCAACAGATGTATGAGATGTATCCTGAGAATTGAGTGGCAGTATAAAAGGATATAGAAGTAGAAATAGGACTAAGAAAGTGGCGTTGGATGGGACATACCTTCAGAAAGCCCCGCGGAAACATCACAAGACAGTCACTGCAATGGAACCCACAGGGAGCACGAGGCAGGGTAGGCCAGGAGAGACATGGAGGAGATGTGTGGAAAGGGACATGAGAGAGATAAAGCTCACTTGGAACGAGCTAGGAAGGATGGCCCAGGATAGAGATAAATGGAAGGAGCTTGTATGTGGCCTATACCCTGCCAGGGATGAGAGGCATTGATTATATATATATATATATATATATATATATATATATATATATATATATATATATATATATATATATCTATATCTATATATATATATATATATATATATCTATATATATATATATATATATATATAAAAAATATATATATATATATAAAAAATATATATATTATATATATTAATATATGTAGTGTCACAACGTGGTGAAATCAGGCGTTCGTCAATTTTTGGTCATATGGGGTTATTGGTATGATCTTAAAGATTGTTTGATTGCCTTTCTTTTGGTGGAAAAAAAATGTCCGTCTATATTGAATACAAGTTTATATATTTGCGATAAAAGAAGTTCGGGTTGCCTGGTTTCAGAGGTAAAATTAACGAGGAAATGGTTGCCAAAGTTTGATAATTTCCATAGCTTGAGAGTCATTGGAAAATAAAAATTTACCTTTTTTGTTCCTTTAATCTATGTTTTTCAGTAAAATACACCCAGAAATGTGTTTTCAAATGGATGTAAAAGGTGTTGAACCAAAATATGAAAATTATTTTTAAAAATTGCCCAACAGCTAGAAAAATGCCAATTTCTTTGATTTTATCATTTTGCGAGCGCCTGATTTCACCTCAATGCCTCCTCTAAATGAAGCCTTCCCTGATTCTGAAAAATGAGGTTTTGTTCATTCTAGCCAGACCACCCCAAACCATGGCTGTTTTATGGCTTCTGTTCCTCACTAACTGATGGTTATGTCCAAAATCTAAATAACACAGTCTGTTTGCAAAAAAGGTTTGTGTTTTACGCAAAACAAATTGATCCAAAACGAAGTACTCATGAGCATATGTAATGTAAAGTCAAGTTTTGTGTGGTATTTGAGACTGCTCTGTTTGCCAATCTGTTGGAAACTATCATAATGAAATATTATTCAGTGCAGATACAATGTTCTCCATATATTTGATATTCAGTGCATTTCTGTTCTACTACTGTTGATGCACCCCAATACAGGCACAAACACACTTTTAAGTTTCTTCTATTTTATACAGTTTTACTGAGTCTGATTTTTTAAAGATTAATTTTGAGTGACCATAACTCGTTCGACTATTATCATTGGTGTAATTATTAACGGTGCCAAATTATTTAGCTTTAAATTGGTATGCTACAGGAGTGGGTAGTGCAAGGCTTTATTATGATAATATTTGTGTGAATACATGTCCAAGTTTCTTATGGTTGCCACTGTATAGGGGAAAAAATGATTGTATACATGGATGTGTACCCTCCTGCTTCCTCATACAGACACACAAATCCACACTTTCACCTCAATTGACACACATCCCCCCCCCAAACACATACACAAACACAGGCAAGGAGTCCTCAATCAAGTCACACTTTACTTGACAGGAAGAAGGCAGAAAGTCCATGGAGTATCTGGTGTCTCGACTCTCCGGTATGGATCAATCCATCCTTCCATCTGTACTGCAAGAGATTCGTGGATTAGGCCAGGCTCATCCGGCCCTGCTGGCCGAGTATGTGGATCAGATCTCTCGTCTGTCCACCTCTGGGTCCAGCGCTGTACGTCTTATGGTGCAACAGATCAGGGAGGACGTGAGGAAAAAGTAAGTGTCACTCTTGCAGATTCTGCGTCTTATTCTTCATTCCCATAGTCTGTCATTCTCGTAGTCTGTCATACCCATAGTCTGTGGCTCATTCCCGTAGTGCGTGGGTAATTCCCATAGTCTGTGTCTTGAAATGCAGTGTTCACCGCTTAAAGTTTTAAGTGTTCAGGAATCCTAAAAAACAAACAAAAAAGGAGGATGTTGGGCAAACAGAATCTTGGTGGGATGAGGGCAGGGAACAACCCTGATAGTATAAGTAATAATGATGGTAATAATAATAGATAGCATTTATGCCGTACGTTTTCTTTTTTCCTAAAATTTTATTGGGATTTGAAGAGTCCTACACTATGTTTGTTACTGCTTACTTTTACTCTTTCATCCTCTGTTGCTGTTAAGCGTCGAGGGGAGATGTAGTTTTCTATGGTAGGCCATAGAGCCCCACAGCTCTTTCAATTGGGATATTATAATTTTTCAGGGTTTCCATGACACCCTCGATCCACCTTTTGCGTGGCTCCATTTATTCTCTGTTTTTCTATGAAATGCAGGAAGGGCTCGGTGCCAATTTCTCATCTTACTTCTTCATTTCTCTGCCTGTCTCGTCTTGTAATGTTTAGGGTTTTGCAGAGACTTTTCAACTCGCATGGTGTGATTTTGTTTTATGGGTTTTTACTAAGTGTCCAGGTCTGGCACATAATGTTGATATAAATATTGAAGTGATAAGCTGTCTCTTTTGCATCATGGAGATGTTTGGATGAGATAGAAGGGATAGTGAGCTGGTAGATGACGGGATTGGCTTTTTGAGTTCGAATTGAAAAAGTACTGCCAAGATATTTACCCCCCTTCACCCATTTCAGTTGTTTACTATTGACATGGATGTTCAGGGGACTATGGTTTCGGCTCACTTTCATAACTTCTGTCTTTGATGTGCTTATTTTCATGTCAAATTTCTCGCAGCTGTTGTTCAGTTCAGTAGTGTGATTTTGGAGGCTTTGTTGGTTTGGATGAATAAGATATTGGTCATCTGCAAATAAAAGTGGAGAAAGATAAGACTATATTTGTTATGTATGTGAAATGTGAAATTTGGTCAACCAACATGTGGGATAGCCCTTAACTGCCGCCCCCCACCTTTAATGTTAGTGGTTGTAGAACATTTCCCATGAGCCTTGCCCGTTGTTTTGTTTTTTATTGGGAGAAATAACAGTAATTCAACCCAGTGATTGATTACCTTGCTTCACCCTTATTGGCACGGTAATATGATTGCTTTGAAACAATGGTGAAATAGAACTCCCCTGTTGAGATAGACTATGTCCTCTTTGCCTTTTTCTTTTCTTCCCAACTGCATCTTTTTCATGTTGTAAGAGTGTGAGTGGTTGGTGCTTTGGTGTGGTTTGCTCCTTCTTTCCTATCAAACATCTGTCGTCCTTATCTCTCCTTTTTTTGTACGTTACACTCGAGTAACGCCTCTAATTTTCAGCACTTATATAACCTATTTGGTTTGCAAGTGCTGTAAAACTCTTACTAAAACTAAAAGCAAGTGAAATAATATGCGTTTGGCTTGTGGATGGATTTACTCAATTGAAACCTACAATAAGTGCTGTGTATGTTCTGAATGATACAGGTAATCCGAATGATGTCAACAAAATGGAAAAGAATGAGATTCTGTGGAGAAAGATAAGACATTTCTGTGTCTGAACTCACACAGCTCTTCCTTGTCCCCTTGATTGACCCCTGTGACATTTGATGTTTTAAAAACGCCCATTCAAGACTACTTGTATTTGTGCACATTTGAAAATCAATCCTCAGACAGGCTGCAGATAAACTATGATTCATTTTGAAAGGACAGACAAATTTTGCCGCAAATCATATTTCTCAGTAGTTAGAGAACTTTAATTGTTGTTGTTCTAAGTTGCTGTTATTTATATTTATTATTTTGACAAAATATAAAAGTCCAGTATTGGTGGAGATGTGTTATGATTAAAATTCAATTATATTTCTCTTTCAAAGTCATGGGTGAAAGTTTTCCGGCATATGCAGGAATTCCGGCTTTTGAAAATAAGCTTTCCAACTTCCGGTTTGGGACAAATTGTCATATTTCGGAAGTAGTCATTCTCCCCATCCAGTCTCTAGCTCTTTGCTGGTCTGTCTCAGCATGCCCTACTGGCCAAAATGAGCGTTGCAAGCCCAGAAATAACCCAATTTGATCTAGATCTATGTCACTAGGCCAACGACCTCGATGTTATTCATCTGGCAAGACCGCTCTGTGATTTGCCCAGGTTTAGCTGTACTTTGCAAATTGTGGCTGGTTTTGACATCTTTGGTTCATGTCTGTGGGTCGTTTGGACAAGCACAAACACGTCGCGGTTAAACTTTAAATATTATTGTGATTTATTTTTATTTTTTTAAAGGAAATTAATTCTTTCAGTAAATATAGATAAGATGCACATAGAATAATAGATGTAGTAAACATAATTTGAGGTCCCGAATTTCGATGTGGAGCCTATTATTCTGTGTATTAAAGCACACACGAAGACTTGACAATTCGCACCTGTATAGCGAGGGACATCGAGGGTAGATCTAATTACATGCAGGCCTATAGACGGCCGCAAATTTAGTTTAACCGATGAAGCCGTGGAGAGAGAGAGGGGGGGGGGGGGCACAGTAGGAGTGAAGGCCTATGATCTCTCAATAGGCCCACGCCGGGGGCAGTATGAGTAGTTTAGCCTGGGTGTAGGCCAAGGACATGCTTGTTTCATACGACCAAGGAGTTTAGAACTAATGAAGCCTCCTCTCTCTCTTCGCGGCGCCATGAGCAGTACGCCGCGGTGGGGATCAAATATGGCCGCCGAGTGTGGGCTAAATCTCGAACCGTGGCGTTTCTTTTTATATAATCTTAGCGGGCTGGGCCACGTTGTGGGGGTGGGCGGGGTGGGGGAATGCACGCAAGGAAGAGGGGATGGAGCAGGGATGAAAGAGGAGGGGCGGGCCTTGGGAAGGGACGAAGGAGAATGGGAAAAATTAAATAAAAAAGAGAGTGAGAGAGACAGACAGACAGACAGACAGAGATTGAGAGATTGTGATCAACTGACGGGCTGACGGATAATGACAGGGAGAAAAAAAATAATAAATTCTGTGTGTGATACGGACTATTCAATTCTTTAAGAGTTTTATGTTATAATCTAGTTTAAAAATCAGAAAGATGTGTAAAATAAGAAGAAAACTTGTCCAAGTAACATAAAATTATCAAACATACCAAATTATAAAGATAATCTTTCAAGATGCCAAAATATTTAATTATTAGAAATGGATAAAAATATACTTTAAAACTGAATTTAAGATATTATGATTGCATGATTCTAGGCGTGTGCCATAACTAACTTTATGTGTAAGGAAAAGCGAACACAACAGAGGGTGGATGCCAGCTTTATCTGATTGCTAACAGTATGTCTTGGTCTATAAATAATAATATTATTGATTACAATAATTTTGTTTCCTGGTTTTCACAAAGTAGAGCGCACAATGATTTCAAATATTTTTTAAAAAGAGATAACAGCACCTTGGGAGGTGTGATTGCATGCATGAGCGTGGATGACCTTTGAAGGTTTTCTTTTCTTTTTTTTCTTTTTTTTTTTTGTTGTTTTTTTTTTTGTTGTTCAGTAAAGTATGATATGGAGAGCAGCGTTTTTAGTCCCTTATTACACTCCAGGGTGAGGGGGTGGGGGATAATTTATCTCAGTGATGACTCTTGTGTATTAAAATTTGTTGTTGCTTTGTTTGGTTTATTTTTTTAACAGCAGAATCTTAAGTGAACCGGAATTATTGATTGTGGGATCTTAGGTGAAGACTACAACAATATAATTAAACCGAGTATAGTTCTATCTAACAAGACTCAAACTCTTATCCACCCCACCCTACCCTCTCCCCTCATCTGATATGGTTTGGTGTTTCTTTAACATGGAAAATATTCATCATTATTGTTGTTGAGTATTGATTTCATATTCTAATGGAGCCTCCAGATATCTACATTTAGACAACAGTAGCATCTAATTTGCACACACAATGGAAAACAATATAAATGTATAATATGTATATACATACACACACATAATGATTATATACACATAATAATTATATATATATATATATATATATATATAATATATATATAAGAATAAGAATACTTTTTAAAAATTGAGTATCTCGGTCTTTCTGCTGGGGTGTTGTATCCCTTTCAGCCTGGGTTGGCCTTGGCAGGTAGCGCCGGAGCCAGCCTCTTATGAATGTTAATGATCTAAATTGTGTTGCTGGGGGCATAAAAACACTTTCATTCAAATTTTTTTAAAAGGAAAACAACTTAACTGTGAAAACTTCAGTCCACTGCAGCATCATATCGGTTCTTACACTTAAATACAACACATATGCAAGGCATTTTTATTAATTGACTTGCCTAATCTCAAGGACCTCGGAATAAAACCTTCTTTCTTATCTAGATTTCAGTGCGTGAGTCGGGGATTCGCGCAGCGCAGGTAGACCACAGTTCCGCCGCGAGAGAGGGCTCCTATCAGGCGTGCGGTGCCGCCCACAGAGCATCCTCCACTACTTTTAATCTCCTTTCATACGACACAGGAGTGTGCAGCGGTAGACCTAGATCTAGATCTGGCCTGCTCGCTTTAGTTGCGGTGTAGTCTATAGTTGTTAGGCTACCGGACCCGTAATTTTAGAATTCTCCGATCTTGGCCTGACAACTGTTTCAATTGCGGCACACAAATGATCAATATTATTCATAGTTCTGCTGTTACTTTCAAAACAAGCGTTCTCCAACTCCAAGTTCTGTTAAGTCGGGCCGTCATCAAGAACCGTGAGTAAAACTTTCAAAGGTGCGTTCTCATCCCGTGACATGGCTTCGGCTTGCGAGTTTCGCGCGTGTCAGGGTCTTTCGAGGCTTAGATCTACGGGGGGAGGGGGTAGACCTAGTGAGGAAGCCTAGGGGTAGACACATGGAC